GGTAGAGTAATCTTGGTTGTAGTTTCTTCCCTTTCATCATTTTAAATATGTCCTGCCTCTCCCTTCTGGCCTGCAGAGTTTCTGCTCTAAGATCAGCTGTTAACCTTATGGGGATTCCTTGTATGGTATTTGTTGTTTGTCCCTTGCTGCTTTTAATATTTTTTCTTTGTATTTAATTTTTGACAGTTTGATTAATATGTGTCTTGGCGTGTTTCTCCTTGGTTTTATCCTGTATGGGACATTCTGCGCTTCCTGGACTTGATTAATTATTTCCTTTCCCATGTTAGGGAAGCTTTCAACTATAATCTCTTCAAATATTTTCTCAGTCCCTTTCTTTTTCTCTTCTTCTTCTGGGACCCCTATAATTCGAATACTGGTGCGTTTTATGTTGTCCCAGAGGTCTGTGAGGCTGTCCTCTACTATCTTCATTCTTTTTTCTTTATTCTGCTCTGCAGCAGTTATTTCCACTATTTTGTCTTCCAGGTCACTTATCCATTCTTCTGCCTCAGTTTTTCTGCTACTGATTCCTTCTAGAGAAGTTTTAATTTCATTTATTGTTTTGTTCATCATTGTTTGTTTGCTCTTTCGTTCTTCTAGTTCCTTGTTAAAAGTTTCTTGTATTTTCTCCATTCTATTTCCAAGATTTTGGATTATCTCCACTATCATTACTCTGAATTCTTTTTCAGGTAGACTGCCTATTTTCTCTTCATTTGTTCGGTCTGGTGGGTTTTTACCTAGCTCCTTCATCTGCTTTGTGTTTCTTTGTATTCACATTTTGCTTCACTTACTGTGTTTGGGGTCTACTTTTTGCAGGTTGAAGGTTTGTAGTTCCTGTTGTTTTTGGTGTCTGCCCCCAGTGGCTAAAGTTGGTTCAGTGGATTATGTAGGCTTCCTGGTGGAGGGGTCTAGCGCCTCTGTTCTGGTAGATGAGACTGGATCTTGTCTTTCTGGTTGGCAGGTCTGCGTCCGGTGGTGTGTTTTGGGGTGTCTGTGACCTTAATATTATTTTAGGGAGCCTGTCTGCTAATGGGTGGTTTGTGTTCCTGTCTTGCTAGTTGTTTTTCATAGGATGTCCAGCACTGTAGCTTGCTGTTCGTTGAGTGGAGCTGGGTCTTGATGTTGAAAATGAGATCTGTGGGAGATTTTCGCCGTTTGATATTACGTGGAGCTGGGAGGTCTCTGATGGACGAATGTCCTGAACTTGGCTCTCCCATCTCAGAGGCACAAATCTGACACCTAGCCAGAGCACGCAGATGCTGTCATCCACACAGCTTAGAATAAAAGGGAGAAAACAGAAGGAAAGAATGAGAAAAATAAATTAAATAAAACAAAGTTATTAAAATAAAAAATAATTATTAAAAATAAAAAAATGTAAAAAGTAATAAAAAAGAAGAAAGAAAGAAGAAAGCAACCAAAGCAAAAAACAAATCCACCAATTACAAGTGCTAAAAACTATACTAAAAAAAGAAAAAAGAAAAATTTGATGGACAGAACCCTAGGACACATGGTAAAAGCAAAGCTATACAGACAAAATCACACACAGAAGCATACACATGCACACTCACAAAAAGAGGAAAAGGGAAAAAATATGTATATATCGTCGCTCCCAAAGTCCACCTCCTCAATTTGGGTTGATTCGTTATCTATTCACGTATTCCACAGATGCAGGGTGCATCAAGTTGATTGTGGAGATTTAATCCGCTGCTCCTGAGGCTGCTGGGAGAAATTTCCCTTTCTCTTCTTTGTTCGCACAGCTCCAGGGGTTCAGCTTTGGATTTGGCCCTGCCTCTGCGTGTAGGTCGCAGGAGGGCGTCTGTTCTTCGCTCAGACAGGACGGGGTTAAAGGAGCCGCTGATGCGGGGGCTCTGGCTCATTCAGGGCAGGCGGAGGGAGGGGCATGGAGTGTGGGGCGAGCCTGCGGCAGCAGAGGCCAGGATGACATTGCACAAGCCTGAGGCATGCCGTGCATTCTCCCGGGGAAGTTGTCCCTGGATCATGGGACCCTGGCAGTGGCGGGCTGCACAGGCTCCCGTCTCTGGGGTCCGTGCTGATAGCCGTGGCTCGCACCCGTCTCTGGAGCTCGTTTAGGCGGTGCTCTGAATCCCCTCTCCTCGCGCACGAGGAAACAAAGAGGTAAGAAAAAGTTTCTTGCCTCTTCGGCACCTCCAGACTTTCCCGGACTCCCTCCCGGCTAGCTGTGGTGCACTAGCCCCCTTCAGGCTGTGTTCACGCAGCCAACCCCAGTCCTCTCCCTGCGCTCCAACCAAAGCCCGAGCCTCAGCTTGCAGCCCCCGCCCGCCCCGGCGGGTGAGCAGACAAGCCTCTCGGGCTGGTGAGTGCTGGTCGGCACCGATCCTCTGTGCGAAAATCTCTCCGCTTTGCCCTCCGCACCCCTGTTGCTGCGCTCTTCTCCGTGGCTCTGAAGCTTCACCCCCGCCACCCCCCCCGTCCCCACCAGTGAAGGGGCTTCCTAGTGTGTGGAAACCTTTCCTCCTTCACAGTTCCCTCTCACTGGTGCAGGTCCCGTCCCTATTCTTTTGTCTCTGTTTTCCCTTTTTTCTTTTGCCCTACCCAGGTACGTGGGGGGTTTCTTGCCTTTTAGGAAGTCTGAGGTCTTCTGCCAGCGTTCAGTAGGTGTTCTGTAGGAGCTGTTCCACGTGTAGATGTATTTCTGATGTATTTGTGGGGAGGAAGGTGATCTCCATGTCTTACTTGTTCACCATCTTGAAGCTAATCTTCATTGGCATTCTTGACATAGCTGGTTTTGAGATGCTTAATGTAAGTATATTTAGTAAGAATGAAGTCAATGTATATTTACAAGGAGATTAGACTATGTGGATTGAATTTCAGAAAATTTAGTCAAAGCATGGTGAGATTCATTCTGTGCAAACCTGAAGAGTTATTTTGGTTGGAAAAAGCTATTATTAATAGTAACAAATAACAATAAATATTATTATAATTAATAGTGCTAAGAAATTAATTCAGCCTTAAACAGAGGTAAAGATATCTTTTATGATTTTGAATTGTAGTATCATTAAGTGTTATTTGACTGTCATAATCTTTAGTTTGCAGGTATAGATGAAGGAGGTAAGAATTTAATTGTGCTATTTTTACTTATTGGGTCTATTTGCCAACATATGATGGTGGTTATGGTTTTCTCTTTACATTTTTCCAAGTGGACCTCAATTTTATTTCATTTTTTTATTGAGTTATATTTGACAACTAAAAAATGTATATATTTAAGTAGCACAACTTAATGATTTGGTGCACATATACACTGTGAAATAATCACCACAATCAAGTTAATTAACCATCACCTTCAATAATAACCATTTTCTCAATTTTATCTCTTCTTCCTACCTAATCACAGCCTTGAAGTATAACAGCATTGAAGAAATTTGCATTAATTTTACCACTGAAAATTTACAACAGTTCTTCAGTCAGCACATGCTGGTTATGGAGCAAGAGGAAAAGAGGAGAGAAGGCATTGACTGGGTGTCCATTGAGTTTGGCCTGGACTTGCAAGCCTGCAAAGATCTCATTGAGAAGGTGATGCGTGTTTTTCTCCTCATCCATCTTTGTTTAAGGAGACTTGTCCCTGCCTGCCATGTTGATCCATGTCAGGACCCAGGCTCTGTGAAGGGGATGGGAAATAGAGCAGGAGAGCTCTGCACATTTTCTCTTAATGTTCTTTTTTGTGCAGCCCCGTGGCATCCTAACTAAACTCTCACGTCAGTTACCTACTCCATCATCTCTAACTCACACTGTCGCTACACATTTGCTGCTTACGCACGACCTCCACTGTTAATAGGTGAGGAAACTTGTTGAGATGAAAAAGGGTCCTGTTCTTGACTGGAAAAACACAGAGCTGAAAAGATGAACCCTGTAGGGCCTGGCTGATTAACATAAGGTGCATGAGTAGACCCAGAGCAGCTTAACAAAATTTGGCAAATTAGCATGCAAACAAACCATTGCCATAAATCCTCAAGGCCTCTACCTTGAAGGATGTAGTTTGTTCATTTAATTGGACAAGTACCAGTTAGTTTAAGTAATTTATGACAATACTTCATGGCTTATTAGTAAATTAGCTGCAGTGTATGGTTTCTGAATTCGATGATGTTCCTCTACTTTGAACTCTTTCCATGTGTTCTGGAAAAGATAAGCCAGATTTTCTGGGGAAATTCAGTATAGTTTTTCCTGTGGCTTTGTCCAAAGGAGCAAGCATGGTGGGGTGTGAGCAGCTACATGCCCTTGTGTCTTGCTATAGCCATGGATTGCAGTGAATTCTGGACACAGGTCTAGGCAGCTATGCTATGCTGTCACATCTGATTCTCAGCAACCCTGTCAGGAAGGGGCAAAGGTGACTGACCTTTCACTGTCCTTTGTGGGGTCCAGATTGTATCAATCACTGTCCCACCCATTTTATATGTTAGACTTAGATGAAACTAAATCTTCCTTGATAGTAGCCATTATTCCTAACAGGAGTGGACATCACATTGATTTTTCTTGTTTTATAACCAGTGAACTTCCTGGGGGGGAGGACAGGCTGATTAAAAAAATAATGATAATGAACTAGCTTGTGAGCTGATTAAAAATAATGATAATAATGACCCAACCATGATCTGGTAAATGTTTGGTGGCATTATTAAAGCTATAGTTTCCTAATTAGAAATGAAACAATAGAACTGGAGCTCCTTCTAGGGGCAGATTTAACTTTGGGCAATTGTCACCTATAATATCTACTTACTCTGATTGTGACAAGATACTGTGTTCAGGCAGGAAGGTGGGATGCAGACATTATTCAGATCCTAATAGCCCTGTGAATGCTACTGATTTGTAGTTGATCTTAAGCCTGTTATCTTATTTATGACAAGGTTATTCTAAATAAGACACTAGCAACCTAGATGTAATTTCCTGTTGTACTTTCTACTGATATGATAAAATGAGAAAAAAAAAACAACAAAACTGAGCAGGTGATAGAAGGAAAAGATAAGTCTTTGGTTTCCTGTGAATGATTTCAAAGGTGTTCAGGTCAGGCAAATGCAGAATACCAAAATGTTTCTTGAAATGATTCTATATTTTGAAAAGATCATTGTGTTTACTCAGGTACATGAAGGAAATTTGTAGGAGATATTAATGATCAAACTCACTCCTTGAAACAGAGGCATCATGGGAAGTTTTCAAAGTTCAAAGGAACTAAAATACATCAATACATATAATATGTCTTATAGAATGCATCTGTGTGTGTGTATATCAGGAAAAGAGAGATTTTCATACATGTAAGTTTTGTGTTTTTACATGTACAGAAAAGTTTATATCAAACTAAAAAAACTTATTTTCATACCAACTTTGTTAATTTGGTCTTCAAACATACAGTAATCTTTTTCTATACATATGCAGTGAACAGATCTATTACAGGATTAGCTCACACTTATCTGATTACTTGAAACGTTCTAGTTTGTTTAGAACTTGAGCATCAATAATTTACATATCAAAGTATTAACATTGATTACATTTATGGTTTTACATTAGGTATTGGTAAAGAGATTATTTTTATTATTTTTTAAAACAAATACATCCAAAATTATATATTTAAAAACTGTTGCCCCTTCAATGAGTCACCTTGAGAGGCTACATCCTTCTTCCAATAATTCAGCCCTTTTGGAAAAAGTCCCTCATGGGACGGGGATTGGGATAAATTGTTAGATTGTTACTATCTTTGAGAGAAAATTAACTTCAATACTGATCATCTTAACTGTTTTCGAGTCCAAACTGTATTACCAACTTTGTCACATTTTTCACCTTATTTGTCTGACTTGACCCAAATAACTTGTGATTGTTTCTATCCATGGTCAGACAACAGGATGTTTCCACATGCCAATAGTCAAAGGTGTCAGATATCCCATAGAAGTTTCTAAAATATTTAAATCCTGGTAGCATCCTGGCAATGACTGTTGTTGTCTCCCAAGTAGAGTTCTTTGGATATGCTAATTCTGGTGTTTTTATTATAAAGTGGATCACATTAATATCTAGTTTGTTATCCCTTGTATGCACATGAATATTTTCTTTAAACATATAACATTGTGTTTTTTGGCTGACAACTCTTACTTTCTGCCTAACTATTGCCCACAGCAAAGCAGCCCAGGTCCCAAAGCTCGAACCTGTATGTCTTAGTGTTCGCCCATCAATCAATTCCTTAACAGAAATTTGCTGAGACCTAGATTTTAGTCACCTCAGGACCTACTCTGCTAAGGGTTGTGAGAAATACAAACCAGAGACATCATCCTGGCACTCAAGGTACTGAGGATATAATTGCAAAGATGTCTTAAGACCAAAATTTTACTGGTTTTCAAAGTTTAACAAGTAAATGTATTTAGCAACTACTTGTTTTGATCACTTCCCCCTCACTCCACTGGTGAGAGAGGGATTCCTATCCTAGGGTTATGGGAATGACTGAACATATGACACCTGACACTGGACAGATGAGATTGACAGCAGCTTATAAGTCACATATACTCACAGCCTGGGGGAGGAGGTCACATGGAAGTTGCACTTGGGAGCAGAATGAAAAAGCGAGAGCTGTGGGAGCCAGGCTTTGTAGTAATAATAGGGTGAGGTGACACTAATTCCCACTGGAGGATGTGATTGGCTTGTTTGAATATGGGCTGGCAGGTAACTGAAATCCCTTGCTCAAGAATAAGCAGGCTCGGGACTTCCCTGGTGGCGCAGTGGTTAAGAATCCACCTGCCAATGCAGGGGACACGGGTTGGAGCCCTGGTCCGGGAAGATCCCACATGCCCGCAGAGCAACTAAGCCCGTGCACCACAACTACTGAGCCTGCGCTCTAGAGCCCATGAGACACAACTACTGAGCCCGTGTGCCACAACTACTGAAGCCTGCACACCTAGAGCCCGTGCTCCACAACAAGAGAAGCCACTGCAATGAGAAGCCGGTGCACCACAGCGAAGAGTAGCCCCCGCTCGCTGCAACTAGAGAAAGCCCGTGTGCAGCAACAAAGACCCAGTGCAGCCAAAAATAAATAAATAAATAAAATTAAAAAAAAAAAAACAAAAAAGAATAAGCAGGCTCTGTGCCTGTTCCCATGGTAAAGAATGTTGCATGGCTGGAGGACCTAACCCACTGTAGAACATGGGGAGGGGAACCCCTGATCAGGTCATTTGAGGCTCTCCTGGTGTTCCCCTGATGTCAAAGCCCACAGAATATTGGACCTTAATTTTAGGCCTAATACTACATTACTATTTATAAAACTTTGAATGAAATGCTGTGGAAAACTTAAGCATTTGTTAAAAATAGCACTTGCCCTTAGGATGTATGCAGTCAAATAGGAGATTTGTAAGTCTAATAAATGTAGAAATATGTGTCAGGATAAATGCAGTAAAGGCACAGACAAAGGCCCACAGAGCTCAGAAGAGCAGAGGTCACCTCTGCCTGCAGGAATCTAGGAAGGCCTGCTGGGAAGGGGGGTAAAATTTCATCTGGGTCTGAAGAAATGGATATGATTTCAGCAGGTGAAAAGAGGAAGATTGTGAGCATGTGAAGGGACAGGCAAGAGCAAAGCCTTAGAGAAGGAAAGCAATGGACACATTTCAAAATCTGCTTAGAGCTTGGAGTGTACAGACAGAAGTATCTAGAAGTAAAAAAGGAGGGTCAGGCTGTGAAGGGATCTTAATGAATTTTGACAGTTTTTTAGGCAATGGGGAGCCAGAGAAGTTTCCACATCGGGCAATGGGGCAGTCAGAGATGCTTGGGTTAAATCTGGTGGGTTTATGTATGGGGTCTGGGATGGGAGGAAAGCTAGAGTTGGGGCAATTAAGAAGCTATTACAGCAGGTGAGAAATAGAGGCCCTGAATCAGGACAGCAGACATGGAAATAATAAGAAAGTAACAGATGTAAAAAGAGAGGAAGGCAGAATTGATAAGATTTGAAGAAGGAGAGGTTACAGCATTAATGTTCAGAGTCAGGGCAACTGACTTAGACCATATACTGTGTGCTAGAAGACAATTGATGCTACGGGACAGAACATAATTACTTTTTTTCCTGACCTATTTGGAAATTAATTTGCTAGAAGGCCTCATATTTATTAGGAGTTTTATACTTCCTAAGCATTGGAGAAATAGAGAAGACCCTGAAGAAATAGCGTTTTTTCCCTCCTCAGTGGTTTAATTGTTACATTTTGAGCTGTGACATCTACTTGCTTTGCATAAAACATCCATTCATCTCCAAACAGAAGATGGCTTCATTGGTGTCCCAGGGACACGATGGTCCTCATGTATGGAAGGTGGCTCTGCTGGATATGGGGGCTGCTGCTCCTTGTGAGGCTTTGCCACATCCCTCTTGTTAACAGGCACCATCCCAGGAGATGCTTACGTTTTAAAATGATTCATTCTAGTGTTCACTGAAGGTTGACTATTTCTGTGGTAGGAAAATATGCAATACAAGATGGAGTCCACACCTCTAAGACCGATGTGGACCGGTGACTCAATTGTTTAGTTTTATCAGGTTCTCCTTCCTCCTGCTTGTTCTCCTCCACATTTCTCACTTTGCCAAGAACTTGCAAGGTCAGTGCTGCCAGGAGCAAGACTTTGCATATTTACTCACTGCATCACCCCCCACCTGGATGCTTGGGAGGAAAGATGTGCCAGAGCCCTTCAGTACAAGAGTTATTGATGGAATGTCATTCAATACATTTTCTATAAAGTGCAGATTCTAAGTCTATGAGACTCTACAAAAGGTAGAAAACCATAGTCCGTATATTAGAATGATAGACTCAGGTGGATAAAAAACATGTTCTTCAAGAATGTAATAATCCAAATTAGACCCATTCGTATGCTCCAGTGGCATAATTTTGAACAAAGGATTCTAAACCACAAACAAATTTTCTTTTCATATATCACCCAGCCAAAGCCTTGACTCGGAGTTGGTTGTTCCTTCTCCATGAAAATATTCAAGCATAGGCTAACCTACTTTTTAGAGGGAAATTCTAAATGGAATTCAAGGAGCTTTTCGGTGGGTTGGGCCAGACCTATAATGTCTCTCCCAAACCTGAGCATTTGTGGTTCTTAGGTACAAAGGATTGGTAGAGAATCATGAAATCTATGTTGTTGGACCAAGGGGTCATGGTTCTATCTTGGAACTCTCATGACATTTTCTGTTTGCTTTGTAGTCTACATATTATGTGCATGTCTTGTCTTCTCAGTAGATGCTCTGCAGCCAGAGCCCATGTCTGATTTTTCTGTTATAACCCAAAGTGTTTGGTACAGTGATTTGTTCATAGAAGGCATTTCAAAAATGTTTGTGGAGTAGATAAATGAACATACAAACCCACAAATAGATTTGCAAATGTAGGAATCCTTCATCTTCCCCCCCGCATACCTGTTTTTCCCCATGTCTATATACCCTATATTGGTTAATGGCAGCATCCACTACCCATTTGCTCAAACCAAAACCTGGTCATCCTTCCTCTTTCTACTACACCCCACGTTCTATCCATCAGCAAGCTATGACTCAGCTCTACTCTCCACCAGCATCACGTTTCAGTGACCTCTCACAGTCTCCAACACTATCAATCAACTAGATCAGCGTTCAGCAAACTATGGCCCTGTGGGCCAAAGTCAACCTGTAGCCTATTTTTGTAAATAAAGTTTGAATGCAACATTGTCACACCTGTTTTATTTACATATCGTCAATTAGTGCTTTCAGGACTGAAATGACTGAGTTGATGGCAAAGGAGCAGCAGAGACTCTGTGGCCCACAAAGTCTAAGAGCTTTACTATATGGCTCTTTAGAGGAAAAGCTTTCTGATGCTGTCATCAGTTTTCTATCACATATCCTTCCTTGTCTGCTTTTTTAAACAACCCTTTAAACATGTAAAAACCATTATTAGCTCACCGGCTTTCCAATACAGACCATAGGCAGGATTAGCCCATAGGCTTTACTTTGCCAACCACTTCTAAACAAATAATCCTTTTCAAGTATTAATTAAATCACATCACTTTAAAAATCTCCAAAGGCCTCCCATTACACTTAAAGTAAAATCCAAATGTCTTACCATGGCCTATAAAGCCTTTGGGATCCAGCACTGCATCTCTCCTTCCACGCACTCCCTCCGACTAGCTCTGCTCTGTCCACACTTGCCTCTGGTAGGACCTGAAATTTGCCAAGGGTGGTCCTGCCTCAGGGCCTTTGCACTCTTCGTTTTTCTGCCCAGTACAGTTGTACACAGGTCTTCTCAGGATTTGCTCTTCTCATTCAGGTCAGAGGGTTTTACTGGACTCTCCTACTAAAATAGCTCTCACATAGCCCCAGTCATTCTCTCTCTTTACTTTGCATGATTTCTTCAGAGCCTTTATGGGAAACTAAGTTATTTATTTAGTGTTTACTTGTTTATTGTCTGTCTGCTCCACTAGAATGTAAGTACCCTGAGGACAGACACTTTGTGAATGTGGCTCATGGCTTCATCCCCAGCTCCTGCTGGTGCCTGGTACCTAGTAGGTATTTAATAAATATTTGTTGAATGGATGATTAGCTAATTATATGTAGTGAATCTCCTTTCTCCTTGTCAACTAATTAGGTTCATAGGAAAGAATTTACATTGACCCTCTACTGAAAATACTGCTTACTGGTGTTTTTTTCAGCTGCTGTTCATCTGTATCTCCAACAGCCAACGGGCATCTTTTCCATCCTTGAAGAGGAATGTATGTTTCATCAGGCTGCAGATGTGACTTTCAAGACCAAACTTTCTGACAACCATTTTGGAAAGCCAGTTCATTTCCAGAAGCCCAAGCCTGACAATAAGAAGAAATATGAAGCTCACTTTGACCTTGTCCATTGTGCAGGAGTGGTAAGTTACCTCTAGACCCTCAGCCCTGAATTTTCCTGCCTCTGTTTCAAATGTACTCAGCCCAAACCCTTAGATAATATATAAGTAAAGTTTAGATTAGAGAGATGAACAAAATAAATCTCAGGTCCCCCAAAAAAGTTGGTGTAGCCTTTTAGCACTTAGGATATGAAACACCCATACTATAATAACAGAGGTCAAAAATCTCAAAATCGACTCTGTCACCCCAACTCAAAGTAAGACAGCTTCAGAAAGTTATGGAGACCATCAAAGACATGGGCTTTTCCTTACTTGTCCTTCCTTTCAACTTAACATTGTGTGAATGAGTGATTTCAATTGATCTTTTTATTGAAGATTTTTTTTCCCTTCTCTCATAAAGAGTACTGTGAAGTAATGGTCTCCAAACTATGACCAACAAAGATTCCTAATAACCCTCACTCCCTCTCCTCATTTCCCCACTGGAGTGTGTGTGTGTGTGTGTGTGTGTGTATGTGTGCATGCACATGCCCCTTCTTTCTGCTTTTATGCTTCTGGTCAGTAATTCTGAATGGCACAAAAAGAGAACTGACGAAGGATAAAATAATACTTTGACCTAAAAATGACCTGCCAGTTGTATCTAGATATGCTTGTAAATCTCTTCTTTGATATCCTTAAATATTAATTATAATGATATTTATAGTAAAATATCATTGATAATGTTTTTGGAATGCTCACTGTGTGTCAGAGACAGTTGTTTTATTGCGTCTATTCTTGCCTGTGAAGGAGGGCTGATGTGAATTGTTTCTCCTGGAAACGCCATCTATTTCTTCCTCCCTCTCCTTGGTGTTTCTTTCCCTCCCTGATTCTTTCTCCCTCTCTCTCCCTCCCCTTCTCGTCCTTTCTTTCCACAATGTAAATGGTAAAGCCTGAGAATCTCTTTGGGTTGCACATAGATTTCTGGAGTATTTATTCAGTACTGTTAAAGGACCCACACAATTTATGATTTTTTTAAAAGGGATACACAATTTTCTAAGTAACTTATGCATTCACCTCTTTTGTTACCTGAACTGCATGCCTTTCCAAAGGTGCCTTATAACATCAGTGGCTGGCTTGAAAAGAACAAAGACTTTCTTAATGAAACAGTGGTGGCTGTATTTCAGAAGTCGTCCAACAGACTCCTAGCAAAACTCTTTGAAAATTACATCAGTACCAACACTGGTGAGTTGAAAAATCTTCCTCAATTTTTCAGCCTCCGAATGGAACCCATGTCTGCCTCAGCACTTATAAAATCCTGGCTTCTTTCTTGTGATATCTGTGTTTGATCCCTGTGGTCTGCGTCATCCCCTCTTATTAGCCTTTCCGTCCTCTGGCTGGTGGTTTTTCGGGGAAATGGTGCTCTAAGGTAGATAGATTTCAAGGAGACTGCTCCAGCCTGCTTTTATCTTCTACTTAACCAAGCTGAAGAGACAGCAGAAAACCATGTTTTGATAAGTGATTTGGGAGAGATAACAAGCTCCTTTAATACATATCCCCCAAATATCTTGGAATTCTCTTTCACAGTGCTTTTATATTATAGTAATGGGGTTTTTGTAAGCTTCATGAGAGCAGAGATTATGTCTCACTTGTTCAAGTGTATCCTCAAGCATGTAGCAGATGCCTGTTTAGCAGGCACTCCATAAATACTTGCTGACCAACTAACAACCAATCTTGTTTAGTAGTCTGTAATTTACAAAGCACTTTTAGATACATTATCTTACTCAATCCTTGTCCTAGCCCTTTTAGATTCATGTAAAGGGAAATCTCTCCCTATCTTATAGGAGCAAATACAGAATTAAAGTTTCACAAATCTACTGTTGAAAGATAAACTCAGGCATATTAAAATTTTTAAGAGTTTACTTGAGGAAAAAGCAATTGAAATTGGCAGCATCAAATCAGAAGTGGTTAACAGCATTCCACCCACAGGAGCTCAGGGAGAGACTTTTATAGAAAAAAGGTAGAAGCAAAGTAAAGAAATTATTGATTTAGCTGTATCTAAAGCCCAGTTGGCTGTTTGTGATTGGTTGTCCTTAGCATTTTGATTTGGTAACCTTGGGGCATTAACAGACTTAGATTTTGTTTGCTTACATAGGCTGCCACACAGCATTAGAGCCACCTCAGTCTGATGGCCTCCTTGCTTCATTAATTTAACACTACTAAATGGCAAAGGCAAGGTAGGAAACAGGACTTGTGCTTACTAGCCTCGTGCCTATTCCACTCTCACTGTCTTCTGGAAACAAACAAAACAGAGAGATGGACAGGCTACCTGGATTCAGGATCCAATTCAGACTTCTGCACCGTGATACAAAGGCTTGGAGGACACAGAGGCCAGGTTGCTGCCATTACCCTCACGTCTGGACTACTGCCAGCAGCAGAGGGACACAGTTGTCACAGTTCATAGCTGCCAGACTGGCATCTCCTGAGCAGAACTGGTCTTCAAACACGTTTGGTCCACACTGATTAAAAAGAAAAAATTGGAAGTTCTCGCGTACACATTTGGATTTCCTTTTTCTTTTGAAAAATGGAAATTATGGGAAAATAGAAAATCCGGCCAGTCTGGTTTCAGATGCCCTTGTAGCAATGGGGCAAACTGTACTAGCTGTTCTTTAAGTGGGATGTGTCCTCTTACTTTCTGACATTCTCACCCTCTTGTCTTACACCCAGCTTCAAGCTCACTCCTGTCCCCTGTTGCCTGCTTTGGGACTCCTGATGGCATGGCCAGGGAATGGAGAGAATTTAGCACTTCCCAGCCGCATTAGCACATGATGACATAATTCAGAAGCATGCCTGAAATCCTGTTGGCCCGCCTCAAGAGGAGCTTGAGAAATGGAATCTATTGGGTATGGACCTTGAAAATCTGCAGGTAGTGCGTTTGTTTGATTCTAATAGCTTCTAAAGTACCTCTGAGAAGTCTGATAAATAGTGGCCACATAAGTGTATGGCTCCCAGATGAGTAATTCTCTGGTCATAAGAAATCAGAGAGTGGTTTGGGCAGAGAATGAGAGAGGAAATTATTTTCTGACTCTTCCGGTTGTGCTGTGTTCTTTTGAACTAGAAGAGAATTGTCCAGAATGTCCTTTTTCATTATTTTTTAAGGACCCCCGGAAAAAGGACTTGCCTCCAAGTTTCTGACTCATCCCAATTAAATTACTCATAATAACCATACTTTCTTCTGGAGAATCCAAGTACTGTAAACCAGTTACAATTCTTTTAAAAAACTAAAGGAAGGTAGTAGTATCCCCTTCCCATGGGGAAGTACAAAGAAGTCAAGTGATTCACTTGGAAGGCTTGGGGCATGTCAATAGGACATCAGTGATTAAACTTCATGACATCTGCCTCAGCACAGTTGCTACTCAAGCTAGAGAGTATTTTATCAGTTTTTCATATTGACAGCTGGCCCTTTTTTTCCAGATTGCCTATGGGTTTTGTTGTTATGCTTTTGTACCTTCATGAGTTAGCGCTACACAAATGTTTGTAAAACAGTTTGGCTTAGCATAGATTCCTTTGCTTCAAGAAAGTGGGAATAGATTGTTTTTATAAATTACAGAAGTAATGCATGAGTGTTGCCCCAAACACAGACAATATAGAAAAACTAAAAAGAGGAACATAAAAGTTACCTTTGATCTCACATAGAGAGATCACAATTGCTAATATTTTAGTGTATACTCTACCCAACATTTTTTATGTATATAGTCACCCGTAATACAATCACACTTAAAAACATGTATACACACTCAGTATCATAATATACAAACTATTTTGTAGCCTAATTTTTCTCTCAAAATAAATCCGAGCAATCTTCCCATGCCAGTTATATGGATCTGCATCATCATTTTAAAAGATTGCAGTGTTTCATTGTACGCATACTCTTTCATAATTTAAGTAACCAATCTCCTGTTGGTAGACATTTGTTACCATTTAAATTTTTTGCTTATTATTTTTTTTAATGACTAAACAATGCTGCAGTGAGTATCTGTGCACAGTTGCCTATTTCCTTAAGGAAAAGCACCAGAAATAGAGTTTTGTGTTGAGGCATGAATATTTTTAAAGCTTTTGGTAGACATAGCCACATTGCTTCTAGAACTTTGACACATTTATGCTTTCGTCAGCAGGGTTTGGTAATGTGACAAAAAAGGGCCTTTTTAGTGCTTTTTTTCTTCTTATTTTAGCTCTACAGTTTGGGGAGAAGAAAGGCAAGAAAGGAGCTTCATTCCAAATGGTTGCATCTCTGCATAAAGTAATTTTTAATTGCATCTATTCATATATTAACTACCTCACAATCTGCATATCTTATTACTTAGTTGAAATTTTACATCTTCAAATAAGGATAAAGTATCTGAAGTTAACCAAGTTGGAAAAGTTAAAGATTATCTTGATATTAATGGACTTTCGTGGACACTGTCAGTGTCCTACTTAGATCCCCTTTATCAGCCCATCTTACCACTTATGAAAATATTAGCTCATAATAACTCACAGTTGCCAGAATTGCCCTTGGTCGAATGGGAAGCTAATCTGTCTCCTTACTCTCCTCTTCAGATTCTGGCCCCTCCCTTGTCTCAAGGAGGTACCAACTGTAGTATAATTGGTGCATTTGTGCTCAGAGCTTCTGCAGGACTCAGACTAAACTGAGTCTATACCACTGCTTTTTTCTCCCCCTGCCCTACTGTACTTCCCTCCTTCTGCAAATAAATCTCTTGAACAAGAATCTCCATCTCAGATTCTGCTTCCAGAGAAACTGAGCTAAGATAAAAATTTTCCAGGCAGGAAACTTGAGAAACAGTTTCTTTCTTCAAGCCATTTTATTGCCCATTCATAAAGTATTGCTACCAAATTTAAAACAGGTAGATATGATACACAACAGAACTATGTCAGTCAGATAAATATTGACTTGTCAAGGGAAGGAAATAATGTATTTTGGTAAGCAGGGAAGAATGTTGAATTCATTATTTTATTGTTGCTATGCATCTGGCTTTAAGACTAAGTTGGTCAACATGGAGACTTTTGTGACATAGATTGGTGTTTTTAATGATTTGCAAAGTGATTTTGTGTTGGTTATGATCTCTGTTTTAGGAAAACCTAAATAAGTTGATGACTAACCTGAAATCAACAGCACCTCATTTTTGAGATGCATAACTCCCAATGTGAACAAAATGTCAGGTAAATAGATTTCTTTGTAATCCACACTAGGAAATTCATTTGATTTAAGCTATGTTGAATGTCTTTTAATGAAATATTTACCAGTTTGTTTTATATAAGGGTGGATTTTCAGATAGAAAAGCTAAAATAAGTTAAAAGTGAGTTTTTTAAACCTCCTCAAGATTGCCTTTGAATTGAGATTCAAGTGGACATACAGAAGGATTTCACAAAGCAGACTCAATTGGATAACATTAGAATGCTTGACATTATCATTTAAATTCCTCCTTGAATTTCACGCTAAAATGTGGATGAGCTTCTGTGCCATTGTCTACAAGGGCAAAGTATAATAAGAAGGGATTGAATAATCAATTTGGGGATTAAAGTAGATATTTAAGCATAAAGGAAATCATTTGTTCCAAATTATCTAAATTGACCATAAAGAGAGTTTCTAAATCCATTTCTAATTGTTGAGAACTCCCTCTAGTCTTCCTTCATAATAGTAATATCTTCCCTCTCCTTAAAACTACCTGTCTCTTTAGTTATGTACTTCTGGGCAGTAGATACTTTTTAAGAAGTATTTTATTTTTCTTCCAATTTTATTGAGATATAATTGGCACGCAGCACTCTATACGTTTAAGGTATACAGCATAATGGTTTGCCTTACATACATCATGAAATGATTATAAGTTTAGTTGACATCCATCGCCTCTTATAGATACAAAAAAAAGAAAGAGAAAAAAAATGTTTCCTTGTGATGAGAACTCTTAGTATTTACTCTCTTAATAACTTTCAACATACCATACTGCAGTGTTAACTATAGTCATCATGTTGCACATTACATCCCTTGTACTTGTTTATCTTAAAAATGGAGGTTTGTATCTTTTGACCACCTTCATCCAAGTTCCACTCCTCCACCCCACCTCTGGTAACCACAAATCGAATCTCTTTTTCTATGAGTTTGTTTGTTTTTTGAAGATTCCACATTTAAGTGAGTGTGTCTGGCATTTTCACCATAAGCTTCTTTGCTATTAACATCTTTGCCCCAAGCATTTTTGCTGCAAATGTTTTCCCCACATAACTAATTGGCCATAAGGCAATTTTGTCATAAAAGATAAAATAACAAAAAATAAAAGAGGGACATTAAAAAGGACATAATGAAACATGAAAAATATATAACAAAATTAAAAAGACTATTGTAAAATATTTGAATAAATTTAAAATGTGTGTAGATTCACGACAATACGGTACAAATATCTGATTTTACTTTGTGGGTTGAACCTAAGCATTTATCTTCCAAGTCTTTGTTCATAGTTCATTATACATTTTTTGGCTTGTTGATTCATCTCCTTGTTCTGCATCACACATTTTCTTTTTTGCTAAAATTTCTTCCCTCATTGAGAGAGGTATCGGTTTCCAAATACTAGGATACATGTTTGTAACTGAGCTTTGTGTTGTGTTATGAAAGCCTTCCACACTGTTGTTTGTTCTTGGCATATTGTCACATGTCTGTTGGTAGATGTTCCAAGTTCTATGGAAAATGTGGGTTCAACTCTGCACCTCTGAGGCCCTCAGCCTCTTTCAGATTCATGTATAGAAAATGGGAGTATTGTGTCAATGGAGAAATGAAACCAAATTGTCAACCGGTTGAAACCAAACTGTCAACCAGTTATTTTATCTTTAATGGCAAAATTGCTGCATGGCCAATTAGTTATGCGGTGAAAACATTTGTAGCAAAAATGCTTTTGACAAAGAAGCTTATGGTGAAAATATCTAGAACCATAAATGAGATTGTATGGTATTTGTCTTTCTCTGTCTGGCTTATTTCCCTTAGCATAATGCCCTCGAGGTCCTTCTGTGTTATCACACATGGCAGGATTTCCTCCTTTTATATGGCTGAATAATATTCCACTATACACATATACCACAACTTTTTTATCCATTCATCCATCAGTGGACACTTAGAATGTTTCCATTTCTTGGCTTTTGTAGTGAATACTTTTTGATGAATGGATGGTGCTAGGGCGGTGATGAGATAGATAGGTGGTGGTGAATTATTTATGTTTTTAATTAACAAAACAAAGTTTTTACAGATATTAATTACATGGATCACTTTCCTTACATCTTGGATTTGAAGATTCCCAGGCTTCTGTTTGGAATTACAGGCTTCTGTGGAGCTTGGTTGGAGGCTGTCAGCCTCAAAGTTGTATATGTGACAAGCACTTATGTCTTCAGAGCACTAATCACCCTTGGAATATGTAGCCAGATGTTGTTGATTCTGATTTCTGAGGTTCTGTAGTACCTTGCATTTTTATTAACCTCCTGTAATTAAGACTCCCATCTTGACAGCCTGTGACCTATTCTGGGAAAGTGTGATGCTAAACAATGATGCTGCAGTTTGAGTTTTTGCAATGCAAACCCTTCATGTGCATTCACGCTGTGTGTTTTTGCCTCATTGTTTCTTATCAGCTGGGTTTCTGAATGCATCTAGGGACACTGCTTCCGTCTAGCAAGGAATCTAATTAGCTACCTCTATTTTGGAGCAATTCTGTTACCTATTAGTTGACTCCCATCGAATCAGCTCTGATTTCAGCAGGTTTTTTTTTTTTTCCTAAGTCTTAAGAGAAAGTCATAAGAAAAGCTTCATGATCTAATCAAAACAGTTCTTCATATGTCCTTAAAGGGAATGAGCATGCTTGACCCTATTGTGTCATAGAACTCCGCTTCTGCTCCTTCTTACAGATGATCTGTTTCTGTCTATGAAAGGGATGGGAGTGCAGGACTATGAATATATGGCTTAGAGTTTATTTCTGTGACCCCGGGCATAAGCAGAGAATCATCTCATTCCATTTTCCTTATAACACTCTAGCAGGTCTTTGTTAGGAGAGTGCTGCTTGGCTTCTTCCAGAAGCCTTGCTGAGAGCCAGATACAGTGGCTCACTGGTTGGCTTTTCTAAGGCTCCTATCAGAGATTGCAGCTGCAGTTCTAGTGGGCTCCATCTCAGGAACAAAGGGGTACTAGGAGAATGCTTATACTATCGAATACAACTTAGGCTTTCTCAAGATAATCAGGAGAGAAAGTAGGCCGGGATGTGGCCCATTCTTTCCTAATACAGAACAGTAAACACAATGTTGTGGCTGTTCTCATCTTCTCCTTTCATTATATTCCCCCTTCTTGTAATCCCTCCCCTTCTTACTTGGAGATGCCAGTTCTCTTTTGTGTTTTATCCCCTCTTTAGCTGGTTTTTGGCTGGCAAATGGGTATAATGCCAGTCATTTACATTCTAGCAAAGATGTATTTTTTTCATCTTCTAGGAGCATTTGCTTATAAAATCTTGACTAACTGTGAACTAAAGGTTTCATTCCAGGTAAATCCTATTCAGAGACTCCTACATAATAGGATGGGTACTTTGAGTGCCATGAAGCTGGGAGTGAGTGAATCCTCTTCCTTATGATGTAGAGAACACTAGATTCAAACTCTTTTAACCTCAGATGCAGCAATTAGGACAAAATCTAGGGTAAGCATTTTTTTAGACATGGACTCATTGTGACCGTTTTTCTTCAGATGTAATGGATGCTTATTTGGTTCTACAGCAGCTGCGCTGTAATGGTGTCTTGGAAGGGATCAGGGTATGCAGTGAAGGCTTTCCAAACCGACTGCTGTATGCTGATTTTAAACAAAGGTAAACATACATCCCAGGATCCAAGAAGTCTGTGGCAGTCCATTTCGTTTTCTTCTCTTGGAGTGTTTAGGCATGCATTGTTTGTTTGGTTGATATCCTCCAGACTACAGATCGATGTGTTTTGGTGGCGGTGAGATATATGATGACAGAGTTCCATTATTATTTCCCCTTAAATCCAACATCTATGTAGCTGTAATATCCTTAAATCTCTATTACTGGATAATAGACCCACATATAGAAGAAATATATAGAGAAGAACGATATGGAGGCTGAATTGAGTCTCTGAAATGTTGTATGTACTTAATCGTAGCTGCCATCCAAGCAGGCTGTTGCTTTACTAGCAATCCTGTGAGAGGAAGGAAGCCAGCAGGGAGTGCAGCAGAAGGCAGAAGAGGCACCTTTGCTTTCTATTTCCCAGATTCTAAATGTGTAAATTATAGGTGATCAAGCAAATGTGAGCAAAGTAGAGTAGAGTAGGAAGAGTACCTGTGTCAGAATTAAGAAGTATATTTCTAGCTTTCCACCAATTCACCATTAGGGTGAGGGAATCTTGGAAAAGACCTTTGACGTCTCTGCTTTTCAGTTTCCTTATCTGCACGATAGAGATGTACTTAAGCCTGCCTCTTTCTTTCTCTTTCTCCTAATCTCTCTCTCCCTCCCTCCCTAATTGAGCCGAGAATCAAGTGAGGTGGTCTCTACAGCACTATGAAAAGTACAAACTATTATTCCAAAGTAAGGAATTATTGCTCGTATCCTCATTATTACTACCAAGAGTTTTGTGAAAATTGAACATATTGGTAGGAGGGGTGGAAGTCTATATATACCTCCTTTTGTCTCACTTGTCCAGATTTTTCTTTATTTGCACCTCAACCTCAGGATTTATTCTTTACTTATTTTAAATTAGGTACTACATTCTGAACCAAAGGGCCTTTCCAAAGAGCAAGTTTGTGAGCAGCAGAAAAGCAGCTGAAGAATTACTTGGCTCCTTGGAGATAGACCATACACAGTACCACTTTGGAATCACTAAGGTAACCAGAGAACTGCAAAGAATGCTTTTGGAGAAGAGTGGGAGGAAAGTCTGTGTATCTTAAAATACCCATGAAAGTGCAATTATAAGGCATTCTACAGCTCTTGTGACCACAACTAATACAAACAGAGCTCCGATGAAACTGAAAACTTCAGCACTATTTGAGAGAGCAAATTCAAAATTCAATGCTTTTTGAACCTCAGTCTTGACTACATTTACATTTTTATAATTATTCATCTAAGCAAGTTTGTGCCAAGATATAAAATACTGAATCAACTTTAGTGTGCTAGAAAATGTGTATACACATCAGAGCTAGACAAAATTGAACCAACTTACTGGAGATAACTGCTTGTCTGCATGTGAACTGATTCATTCACAAGTACACTTTCAGGAAATTAATTCTGAAAGACTGTCTAAAAATGTTAAGGTCGGGCTTTCCTGGTGGCGCAGTGGTTGAGAGTCCGCCTGCCGATGCAGGGGACGCGGGTTTGTGCCCCGGTCCGGGAGGATCCCACATGCCGCGGAGCGCCTGGGCCTGTGAGCCATGGCCACTGACCCTGCGCGTCCAGAGACTGTGCTCCGCAACGGGAGAGGCCACAGCAGTGAGAGGCCCGTGTACCACAGGAAAAAAAAAAAAAGTTAAGGTCAACCCTACCATCCAAAAAATTAATCCAAAATTAATTTCCTTAAATGTGATTCACTAAATTCTGCTTCATCTTGAAGATCTTAACATGATCCACATATTTTGGGAAACTTCTGACTAACAGATTTGGTTTTATCCATTAGTCAATATCAGGTTGTTTCTAATGACATCCATATAAAGGCCAAATTATTTGAAGGAGAATTGGAGGGTCTGGGATGAAGAGCTTAAGAAAAAGAACTCTGTTGGACATGATTATAAAATATTACTCAACTCCCACATTTTGAATACCTGAGAGTCTGTTTCTGCTGGTTTTCACTTCTGGTGCTTTGCTTCCTTGTATGTTTAGTTATTTTTGCTGTATACTACTCATCTAGGGCAGGACTAGCATGAGTTGAGACAGCCTCCTAAGGCACAAAATTTAAGGCAGCACTCACTCTTCAGGTTGTATAAGCACTGACTTGTACAACCCTGAAAGTGAGTGCTTCCTTAAAATTTGTGCTTTAGGTACCTCACTCACCTCATCTTGGCCATTACTAATGATTCTTGAAAAAATATTTATGTGTATTTTTTATTGTCTAAGACAAAAGTGACTTTCTCTAGAGCAGAGGTCAGCAAATTATGGCCTAAGGGTCATATCCATGGCCTATTTTTTATATGGCCCCCCTAGCTGAATATGGTTTGACATTTTTAAAGAGGAAGAAGAAGAAATAGAAGAAAGAGAGGAGGTGGAGGACGAGGGCGATGGGGGTGGGAGTGGAGGTTCTACAGAGACTGTATGTGGCCTGTAAAGCCTAAAAGTATTTACTATCTGGCCCTTTACAGAAAAACTGTGCAGACCCCTGCCTGGGCCTATCTTAAAACGTAAACCAAGTTCCCTAGACAACCTAGACATTACTAATAGATCAGGAGGAGGATAGTCTAAGTTCTTAAGGAACCAATATAACCACAGGATTAAATAAAGTTGTTTTTGTGTGTGTGTGTGGCAAACTTTAGGTTTATAAAACCAAACTTTCTAGAATTTACATTTTACACATTAAGAAATATTAACAAGTAGTAGAACTGATAAACAAATACATCAATCGCTCATAGGGCCATTCAACAGGCATTTACTGAATGCCCACTATGAGTAGAACTAACATCTGACATTTCTTTTAGGTGTTTTTAAAAGTCGGCTTTCTGGGCCAACTGAAAGCAATGAGAGATGAGAGACCATCTAAAGTCTTCACATTGTTCCAAGCCAGGGTATGGGGAAAATTGATGCAAATCAAATTCCAGAGGATTCTGGGAGAGAGGTATGATATCCCCACCCTGTGTCCCCACTGCTAGAGTAATGGTGTGCCTCAGTCAATGTGACTTTAGCTCATTGTCAGGGTAGAGAGCTCTGCCACCTCTGCTTAGTCTGGGACTTAATTTGAAATTTTTAAAATTATGGAACACCAAACAGAGCACAAAGGGCTTCTATTACCCTATCTAACTAAGAATAAGCATAATTCAGATATTTCTTGCACTGCTTCCAGTCTTCCCTTTGGAGGGATTCTTTATAATTGGCCAAGTCTGGATCTCTGAGAGCAGTGTGACTCATAATTCAAAACAGAAGCAGACCTAGAAGTGTTTGCATGCATCTCACAGCCAGCTCTGTGGGGAAGTTTGCTGCAAAGTAGGTAGGTGTTCTGATCACTTTACAGCCTCCCCTGGGTCAGAAACTTACTCTTGGTGACATGTAACCATAACTCTGTTACTTCATTTCAGGCAGGTTCACTAGGGACATTTATCATCACCTCTGGACACTGAGGCATAGGTTTTGTTTAATAGAAGAAAACCTTTAATAGAATCATGGAAAGCAAGCTAACAAAATATCCAAACAGAGGGACTATGAGTAAAGGATTCTGTGGTTGTCGTATTTACTTTTTACCATAGCACAGTTTACCTTCTGGAGAGAGGTCCACAGGTCTTGGTATAATTTGCTTACTTGACAGTCTGTTAATTCCCTCTGTTTCCCCAAAGAAGAAAAATATTATTACATGGTGATGTCAAGGATATTAGAGAGACATTTACTAAGAGTCTTCTGTGACCTCCACACAGTGCCCAATGTGGTGTGGGAGTTTATGAGAGTTTGGGGTTCAGGAGACATGCCTTCTATGACCAGTTTTGTAAACTTGGGTAAGACTCTTAATTTCTCAAGTTCACTTCCTTCATCTCTAAAATGAGGTCTTTACTATCCATTCTCTCTAAATCATAGAATGACTTTAAAGGAATTATTATGTAATATTTAAAATACAAAAAATACACAAAATATTATAATGCATACTCATGGAGCTATCATCAAAGTACATCAGTTCCTAACATTTTCTCTGTAATATCTCACAACTTAAAAATAAATAATTAAAAAAGTTGAAACCCTTTTTGTATTTCTCCCTTGATCCAGATCCTATTCCTAGCTCCTGAGATCCTGAATTCATTTTATCCCTCTGTTTCATTCATATTTCATATATAAAGCATATAAAGTTTAACATTCTTCTGTAGTTACTCACAATATATTTAAAAAATAAACTAACAGACTCAGTTGAAGCCCCTTGCATATTTCTCCCTTGATCCAAGTTCTGTGGAGATATGCAGGTGTCCTTAAAAAGTTACATGATTTTGCATGTTTTTAGTCTTCACATAAATATGCTCTGTGTATTATCTTAAAATTTGTTCTTTACATTCAGTACTAGCTTTTAAATTTATTAATGTTGATAAATCTAAGGTTAGCTTATTGATCTTAACTGTTATATAGTATTCCATCATATGAATATACCACAATTTATTTATCCATTTCCCAGCTCAAGTAAACTTAAGTTATTTAAAAGTTTTTGCTATTACAAACAGTTCTGCAGTGACATTTTTGTAAATGTCTTCCCCTGCATATATGCAAGAGTTTCTTGAGGGCAATGTTACTCAAAATGCTGGTCCATTGGCTGATAGTACCTAGGTAGCAGCTAACCGAGGCCCACACTTCGAGTGGCATTTCTCTAAGGTATGAATTATTAGGTTTTAGGCTATACACAACTCCAGCTTTATGAGATGTTGCCAAAATGCTTTCTGTTTTGCCCTTTACCAGAAGTATATGAAAGTCCCATGGCTCTATATTCTCACCAACTTGTGGTATTTCAACTTCAAAGACTTTTGCCAGACTTAGTCATATTTCTGACTTTGGGGAAAGATATCGTTTTCCTCTTAATATCATGTTTTCTGTAGATTTTTTTTTGGTAGATATGATTTATTGTATAGAGGACATTCGTTCCATCTTATTTTGTTAAGCACGTTTACCAAGAAAGGGTTAAATTCTTCTTTTGCATCTAACCCATAAATGTGTTGAATTAAATTAATAGATTAAAAAAAGTTAAACCCACTTTGTTTATAAAATATGATATTTTTCCAACATTGTGGGATGGGTTATAGTATTATAGTATTTTTGCCTCAATGTTCATGAATAAGTTTGGCCTGTAATTGTTTCTTCTGCTGTTATCTGACTTTGAATCAAGGTTACCTTAACCTCATAAAAGAGTTAGGCAACATTTTCTCTTTTCAAAACATGAAACAATTTATTTTGATTATCTGTCTTTGAGTGCTTGGTAAAATTTGCCTATAAAACCATCTAGATCTGGTGTTTCTTTCATGACAGATTTTACAATTTTGATTTAATTTATTTAATAGATATAAGCCTATTGAGATTTTTTTCTTCTTGAATCAGTTTAGATTAATTTCTTTCTTTTTTTTTCTTTTTCAGTACGCGGGCCTCTCACTGTTGTGGCCTGTCCCGTTGCAGAGCACAGGCTCTGGACGCGCAGGCTCAGTGGCCATGGCTCATGGGCCCAGCTGCTCCACGGTGTGTGGGATCCTCCCGGACCGGGACACGAACCCATGTCCCCCGCATCGGCAGGCAGACTCTCAACCACTGTGCCACCAGCGAAGCCCTAGGTTAATTTCTTTAAAAAAAGAAATTTTACATTTCTTTTAAAATCTTCCAATTTGCTAGATTATAATTTTTAATCTCTATCATATCTACAACTATGTTTCTAGGGCATGATCATAGATTATTTTATTTTAGAGTATTATCACTCCTAGTATTGTTTATTTATGCCTTCTCTTTTTCTTGCTTATTCATGTCAGATGTTTATTTAATGATACCATTTAATAACCCACCTTTAAATTTTTTCTTTATTTTTTTTGTTTTCTTGTTCATTAGTTTCTGACCTCAGCTTTATTCTTTCCTTCCCTCCACTTGCTTGGGTTTATTTTTCTTAATTCACAATTTTTTTCAGTGTGTCTAATCAGCTGCTTAATTCTTCCTTTGAGTATTTGATTTCAACGACTATACTTTTCAGTACTGGACATTTTCTATGGTTCTCTTTCAAATCTGTCTGCCCTTTTATCATAGTGGCTCATTTCTTTCTTGTTTTTTTCAGTTCTTTCCTTTATGTCTTTAATAATTCTTAAGAAGTATTTTATGATCTCCACCAGATTGTTCAATTATCTGAAATTCTTGGGGGTTTAATTAAACTTTTTATTGTGGGTGCTCACCCTCACTTATGGTTGAATTTTTTTCTATATGTGTTTCTTTTTTTTTGCAGTACGCAGGCCTCTCACTGCTGTGGCCTCTCCCGTTGTGTAGCACAGGCTCCGGATGCGCAGGCCCAGTGGCCATGGCTCACGGGCCCAGCCACTTCACGGCATGTGGGATCCTCCCAGACCAGGGCACGAACCTGTGTCCCTTGCATCGGCAGGCGGACTCTCAACCACTGCACCACCAGGGAAGCCCCTCTATATGTGTTTTGTAATTTTGAACTGTAAGCTCATCTTCAAGGGGACTTTAAGAAAATCTCTAGTGCTTGATTTTAGGGTATTTTCTTCAGTGCACTTTTGTATTTTTCCCCCAAGGGCCCAAAGGGTATTTATTACCAGTGTAAAAAAATGATTATGCTAATTTCTTGTGTATTTCTTCACTAATCAGGTAGTATAATTTAAATCTCAAACACGCCGGTGGTGCTGGTTCATAGTATAAAAAAAAAATTCTTAGCGTAGGATCTTTTTTCTTCACCCTGAGCCCAGACCAAATCAGATGTTCTTCTCTTTGACTTCTCTCTGTGCCAGTGGGTGAATTTTTAAATCCTCCTTTTCATTAAGGGTGAAATTCTTTGAAAATCACAGCCTGTCTCTTTATCCACAAGGATATAAAAATACAAACCCTACAATACCAAGCCTGGCTTCCTCCTTCCATAAGGATGGTCAGACGTACAAGCATTCACTCTTTGCTATGTTTTTTTTTTAGCTCCCTCTATACTTCTTACCCTCTTTAAGGGTCAGCTCTCATTTAAAGGATGTTTGTAGTGGAAACATTTTCAGGACAAATAGTCCACAACATTGTTAGCTCCAGAAGTCCCTCAAAGGGTTTTTGATAGAATCAGATGAGAGCTTGGATGTAGAAGTGCTTTGAAGACTAATGAGGATTTATAATGACTCCTAAAAAGATGTGCTTATCAGGGATCTTAATTTGGAAAATAACTCTTTTATTTTTAAATTTTTTTATTTTTATTTTTTAAAATTTTATTTATTTTTGGCTGCGTTGGGTCTTCATTGCTGCCCGTGGGCTTTCTCTAGTTGCAGCAAGTGGGGGCTACGCTTCATTACAGTGCACGGGCTTCTCATTGCAATGGCTTCTCTTGTTGCAGAGCACGAGCTCTATGAATGTGGGCTTCAGTAGTTGCAGCACACGGGTTCGGTAGTTGCAGCACGTGGCTCGGAGGCTCAGTAGTTGTGGTGCACGGGCTTAGTTGCTCCGCAGCATGTGGGATCTTCCTGGACCAGGGATCGAATCTGTGTCCCCTGAATTGGCAGGCAGATTCTTAACCACCCAACACCAGGGAAATCCGGAAAATAACTCTTTTAAATAGTCTAGGTTAACTTGCTTTTCTTTTTTTTTTTTCCCCCTCGACTTAGGGATGCACTTCTTTTGAACCAGTGGAACGTAAGAGCTTTCATGGCTGTGAAGGGCTGGCCGTGGATGAGGCTCTTCTTCAAGATCAAGCCTTTTGTTAGATCTGCTGGAATGGGAAAGGAGGTAGCTGGACTCAAGGAAGAGTGTGTGCAGCTGCAAAAAGCGCTGGCGAAATCAGAATCTCCGAGGGAGGAGCTGAAAGCCAAGCAAATCTCCCTACACCAGGAAAAGAATGACTTGCTTCTTCAGCTGCAGGCTGTGACTGGCCCCACCATTTCTTCTTCAAATCAAGTTTCTAATTAGATTCCCTTGTTTTGCAGGCAGTATTGACTTGAAAAAAAATAGAGGCACGTGCTATGCAAATACTGTAGAATTTCATCCAACACAGACAGTGGGAACACTTAGAGAGACACCCTGTTTTACAGTGAAGTGATTTCATTGACAGTATGTCTTTGAAAAAGGGACAAACTTTTAGATGGGTTTTAACTGTATAAACAGATGGAAATCTGTCATGGGAGTCAGGAAGCTCTGGATCTTAATTCAAATTCTGTAGTTAG